TGAATTTTTGTAGTTGACGAGTCAATGAAAATGGAATTAAGCCGTGAAAATTTTCTCGCAAATTTTCTAAGACTGTTTTCTCAACAAGAATGCCTTGCTGAGTTGGTTTCTGTTTTCGGCAATAAAGCATCGACAATTTCTCATTGGCATGGAGAATATAAACGTGGACGTAAGGTTTTAACGTGGATGACCAAGAACAGGTCCACCAACAACGGCAATCACCCAGAAAAACGTCGATACTGTACGTAAGTTGGGGACAAGAGAAGATCGACATGTTACATATCATGAAATTGAAGCATCATTGGGCATTTCAAGATTTCAATTCAAAAATTGTACATGAATTTTCTAATAATAAAATTAGCTTCCGTTGGATACCGCATTTGTTGACAGAAGAGCAGAATGCAATTAGAGTCAATTGCTGTCAATAAACTCACACGGGCTTAACGCAGGAAACCCAAAAAATATATACAGTATTGTCAATCGGTGATGAGTCCTGGTGTTTGGGTGTTCTGAGATGAATCAAAACCAACGAAAGTTAACTGGTCTCTCGAAGTGTTTCTAAATACAGCTTTATTGTACAAAAGCCGTAGCCAGCTTCATCGACAAAACATTTAAAAATAAAACAAAAGCACAAAAAATATCAAAAATTCAATAATCGAGTACTTGACTTTTCAAGCGACTTCAATAATGAAGCGATCGCTCGATTCAAATATCGCCTGCATTTAAAATACGGTTTTTCGCCCGTCGCTTGTTGTGGTTGTACTTGTAACGCCAAGCAGTAAGTTACGTGCGCAGAGCACATATTATTCTAGCGATGAATGGCAAGTAGCAAGCGACGAGCCATTCGCTTGATCGCTTGATTTAGTTTATTTCAAAGCATTGTCCATGTAGGTCGTAAAATTTTGTCACCAAATACGCAACGGATAACGTCGTATAAATTTGCTATCTGAAATGTATAAAGGAATTTTCGCTCGAGTTATACCATCACTATTTTAAAGCAAGAAAACATCGAATTGTTGGACCATCCTCTATACATTCATAGACAAAGCACTTAAAAACAAACAAAAGCACAAAAATATAGAAATAATAAAAATATCATACAGTACAAATCATAAAAAGATGATGGCGCCATATTTGTCTCAAAAGCGAATCATGTGGCAATAATTCCTTTGCAAGATCAAAGAACTGTTACTGCTGATTGGTACATATCTATTTGTTTGTTTGAGGTAATCATGAGTTTTGAAAATCAAACCTCAAATCCACGAATGATCCCTCCAATTAAGATAATGTAAAGTCTCTACTAATACTGAAAAACAATTGAATTTTTAAAAGAAGAAAACATAGTATTGTTGGACCATCGTCCATACAGTCTCGACCTAACGACTTTTTTACTCTTCCAAAAATTCAGAATAAACTGCGTGGTCAAAGGTTCCAGTCCCTAAAATATCCAGTCAGCCTCTTCAAAAACTCAATTTATGAAGGTACTAACAAGCAAGTGGAATAATTGATTTCAGAATTGGTTCCGCCAGATGCAAAAATGCATTTCCTTTTCATGGAGAATAATTTTCGATACCGTTTGATAAAGAGTTATCCCGTAGTTTAAAAAAAAATATAAGGTTTGTTCCAAACAGCATTTCGGGATCATTTCGAAATCGTACTCGAATACTCGAATCGGTTTTCTTGCACTTTATTAGCATGCGTGACGAATAGTTTCGTGACGGAGCAAAAAGTATCAACGTTAGAACGCTTTGTGGATTGTTAAGTGTCAAGCGTGCGTGGTATCGATCGGTTTTTTGTTTTTATTTCTTGTTTAAAATTTCATAACATAACCCTGGCTATTTTGTTTGTAAATTTGCATTAATAATAATTATTATTTTTGAAATGGAGAATCAGAATCCAGTAATTGTTGGTAAATGTTGTTTCAACTGTTTCAACTAACGCACACGTATTCGAATTCGTAAAAAATAACCAAGATAGAAGCATCAGCGGCACGCCGGACCAGAAGATCCCTGTCAATATGCTTTAATGCGCAAGTCAAGTGACGGTTCTGCGGCGGGTTGGAACAAACCTATAGACAAAAGACAACCCTCGTACAATGTATATTATCTACATAAATAAAATAAAAATATTTATTTTGAATTTTTCATAGGGATGCTAGTAAAATAACGTTGTACACAGAGTTGTCATGTTACACTACATTCCCCTGGTTTCCATATAACCATCAAATATAAATCTTCATTCTAATAGTGCAGCATACCTAATTTTATAACTTTTCACATTTAAAGCGACTACATTCCATTTTACCATACCTTAAAAATTTCGTATTATTAGGTTTATGTGAGCATTCCGGCACCACAGATAGGTACTATGTCTGAAAAATTCATACATATTTAATAGAGTTGTTTTTATATCACTTAATTTGTTATACTAGGCTTTTATAAAAGTAAATTTATCTCATATTATGTAATTAATTATTTAAATTTTTTTTTTTTTTTTTTTTTTTTTTTTTTTGTTTTTAATAATTATTTAGTAATTTTTATTCTTTGGAATTTTTTTTTTTTTTCAATGAAGTTTAATGTTGAAGTTTCAGTATTTTTTATTGCTTCAATTACTATAAGTTTTTTTATAAACTTAGTGTTCGTTCGTGAGTAAGAATAAAAACGTGTCCAAATTAAATTGAGAACAACTTCAAGTGGCGCAAGCGTGAAGGTTCAGAGGAAATTGAGATAATTTTGTCGTTTTAAATGTGAAATGGAGGACAGGAGGACAAATGGAGAACATTTTTGTAAAACATAACAATAAAAAAAATAAAAAAAAAAAAAAAAAAAAAAAAAAATTTCAAAAAAACATTTTATCACAATGACGTTTTACTAAAAGTTTTTTGTATTGAGAATAATTTAACAAATTTATATTTTTTTTTTTTATGAAAAAGAAAGAAATGCTTTCATGTCCATATACATCACACATATAAGATTGCATATACGGGATAGGTAATGGTGGTAAACTTACTTATTATATTAAATAACATAAAATGAGAATATAAAGAAAATTGTAACCAAAAAAATTAATAAGCAATAAAAGAACAAAAATCCCAGACATTCAGCGTAAATTTAATTAAATGATATGTAGTACTTTAACTTAAATTGAAACAGAAAGACAGTCAAAGCTGGAGTGGGTCTACTACCATTGTAAGCTGAATAGGCCTCTAAAGCTAATGGGATTGATCTCGGGATTGACGGACGAAGCTATGTGTAGGTTCGGCCAATCTGAAGAAGAAACGGCAGAACACGTTTTATGTCGGTGCGACAGCCTGGCAAATGTGAGGTTCTCGGTAATAGGCAATGCGAGCTACATGGAGAATTCGATCTCCAATTAGCTAGACTTTGTGAAAATGCTAGGACTGAATAATGTAACCTAAGGATCAGAAGAGGACAACAATATATATGAGAGGGTCGCAGTGGCAGTGGATCACGCCGATGGTTACCTCTAGGAATCTAATGTAATCTCTACTTAAATATTAGCACTACCCCTCCGACTCAATACCTCATAAGCGTAACAAAATTTGATTTTATTTTCAAACTTCAAAAAAGAGCAGTTCGATATTTATTGGGACTGAACAGTAGAACTCACTGCCAGAATTTCTTTAAAAATTTCCAAATACTGACTCTTCCTTCTTTATTCATTTTTGAATCCGTTTGTTTAATCCGGAAGCACATATTTGCTATTCCCGTAAGGCCATCTTACCACTATCCACTTAGGAATGCGGAGCACGATCTTAATCTGCCAACCCCGAGTTCAGAACTAGTTAAAGGCTCAATACTGTACAATGCCAAAAAATGTACAATCATCTGCCTTTGAATATCAAGTCGCTTTCATTCTTTCCCGCATTTCCCAAAGCTCTGAAATCATACTCACTGGAGGGAATCTTATATGCGATAAACGACATTTTTGTTGATGTTTAATCATGCACAATTTTGAATTTTGAAATTTTGATCATCTCACACACGTCGAGTATTTATTGTTTTATAACTCTTAAAATTATATCCATATACAATTTTCCTGTTGTAAAACTTTATTAATACGCCTTTTGTGTGTTCTGCAATGTCCATGTATGTTCTATTTGTAATTTTAATGACTTAAATTTTTTTGAATTGTATGATTTGTATTGTATATTTTTTATTATTTGTATATTTTTTTTTGCTGTTGTTTATTTTGTAAATGCTGTGTCGATGAAGCTATTTTGGCTTTTGCACAATAAAGTGTCATTTATTATTTATTTATTTATTATCTTTGTATAATTAGCAATTTTTTAATTTTGCTAACGTAATTTTTAGTAAATGTTGAGACAATGATGATTGTCATTCCCCAGCCGTCTTTGACGCTGTTTTTTTCGGTCATACGGTATAATATGGTGATAATAAATTAATAATAATTTTTAATAAACTAAATCATTTCTAAAAAGAGTTACCAAACATACCGTAGAAGGTATAATATGGTATTATTTATACCGTGTATGATAGTATAATCAGAAAGGCTCCGGGGTCATTGTTCTCAACCCAAAAGCGGCAGTATCGTCAGTAGGTCAGTAGTTCATAACAACAGCCTACTCATCGATTGTCTATTATATTTTAGATTCCCACATAAAGACGTTTTTTTTATATAGCTCGTGAAAAGCGATGCTTTTTCACGCGATGCTGCCGCTTTAGGGTCAGTTCGCTATATGCACCGTCGAAAAACGACCCATAGGGATATCCCGAATCATCGACCCATAAAAATATCGATATAATATATGTATCAACGATATTTAATTTTGATTAGTTTGAAATTGTGAATGACTAGATCATACTTTCACCTTAATCCTAATCGACTTTAATCCTACTACTAACATTAGCCCTAGTACTATATTAAGGTCCTAAGAAATATATATTAGCCTAAAATGATGGTTGACATGAGTTAAAAAAAAAACAGGTGCCACATTTCTTAGGTAGACATTAAAGACATCATATTCGTAGCATTAAAATCTTTTCCACTTTCCCTGAAAAATAGCCCCCTTTGCTCTTCCCATCTGCTACAGATAAAAAGTGTAGTAGTGTATGTTTGGCGTCATCTTCTTCACTACAGTACAGGCACACAGCGGTCTCTGATCTTGGATATTTGTGCAGATATTTATTGAAACAGCCATGTCCAGATAGAGCCTGGGTAACGTAGTAGTCTACATCGCCATTACACTGACTAATCCATACCTCTAAATCTGGAATCAAAAAATCAGTCCATCGAGCTTTGGTGCTTGAGTATCATTTTTCTTGCCATTTGACTATTAAGTTTTTCCTGGTCTACTATTATCTACTCCTGTATACTACTCGCTTCTTTCTATAATTTAAAGTTCCATAAGCGGTATCCGAGTAGAACTCCGTCTGTAGATATCATGGTTCTGTATGCGCTTATTACCCTGATATAACTGTTCTTGAAAGCTGCTTAGTTTGACCATAAGCCAATAGCTACCATAAACCATGCTGGAGACCTATAGAGGACTTGAACCACATTAGAATATAATTTTCGTTTTGAAGATCTTGAGCCTCCTATATTTGGCATCAGACTAGGTAAAGGTTGATTGTCACTATACTTTCCATATCAGCTCCCTTCCGTTTCCATTCCTTTTACATAAAATATTATATCATGTGAATGAATAGGATAATGCACACTATCCGTTCTGTTTCTTTTCCGTTCCATATCCTTTCCTTCCATACATTTTTGGCGGACAGACTGAAGCGTATCGGAAACAGCGTTGTCAAATTCTTAATTTGTACCAGCTTTGTTAAAAATTTGCTGATATTTATTTATTCCTTCACCTCTTAATTAAATCAATTACCTTTTTCAAAAGATACACATTTTTAAAATAAAACTTTCGTAATGATATAACTGTACAATAAAAAGTATGGAACTGATACGGAACGGAAGCTTACGTATAGCTTTCATACAATAAAAAATACGGAACGGATATGGAATGGATATGAAATGGAAACGGAAGGTATAGTGAGAATCAATCTTAATGCTCTCAGAGTTTTTTCTGCTTTAAGAATACCAGCCGATATATGTTCAGCAAATGTTAGTTTCGTGTCCATCCATACTCCAAGATATTTCAGAGCATTGCTTAAGTTGACGGATACACCTTCTAGACTGAAGTTAATTGGTCCCATATTTCGTTTTCTGGTCAAAAGCACAGCTTCTGTTTTTTTTTCTGGAGCTATAGGCAGATATATAGGCTATAGCTATAGGCAGATATACATATAGTATAATTGCCATCCAATTTGGTAGGCACTATAGTGCATTATTTATTACATCCATCAGTATTTGTTCATTTTTTGCCATACCAGTAACTGTCGTTGTCTATCTACTATATTTATAGCGTAAGTCACCTACCATCATCTTTGTCTTATTACTTATTAAAATACAGGCCACCAATTTAGAATGACAAAGCCAGTGTGTAATTATCGATATTTTTCTTCAAATGGACATCCCTAACGATGTGTTAAATGCGTTTCGGAACCGACGGCGAAGATGATGGACCATTGTTTCGGGTAACTGTTGTTCTTAATGGAAAAATTCTCCTTATTATTTTTCTTAATATGAATTGCGTTTTTGGGGTGAAAGTTTCAACGGTTCGGAACGAAATGAGCTCAACGTAAAGAGAAAAAACAAATTATTGGTTTAATTATAATACTATCTTTATTCATTTTTTGAGTCTAAAAAGTTAAATGTATTTTTTGGCGACTTAACTAAAATACTAAACACATTAAAAAGTAAAGGAAAGGTATATTCCATTAATTTATTACATCTATATAAATTATAATATAAACAAAAATATTGACTTAAAAACGGATGAATTTATTTATCTTATATGAAAAAATATCTTATCTTATGTGAATAAAATGAATAAAAGTCCATTTTCTGTGGAATTTATAAATGAACTAAGGATATACGTAAGACCGATGACAATACTACTCCTTGCGGCATCATCAGCCTTTGTCCATTACTGAGCTTAAGCCTCCCCATTTGTTTCCACATATGTCGCTCTTGAGCTGCTTTGAGAATCCAGTTTGTTCCTCAAATTGCTCTGATGTCTTAGTCTCACACCCAGCGTTGAACGGTCCATCGATCTCTGACAAACTCGAGTTATTTCAGCACTTTTCTGTGTGTCTCTAAATCGTAGGTTGTTATTGGCAATTTACATGTTTCCTAAACTTTTTTTGAATTGTGGTGAAATCTTTATTTATTTATTAGAATATACTACAGATTCTCGAAAGCTATCCAAGATGTCCTTATCCTTCTCTTGATCTATACAGTTTAATTTTCGTTTCCGAAAATTATGTATTCTCGAACTATTTCTATCTGGTATCAATATCAATTGGGGAATGTTTCCCTTTACGTGTCTGTCTGTAGTTGTTATTAGTTTTGGTTTGTCCACATTCTTGATTAATCCTACCATTTTGGAAGCTTCATTTAATTGCCAGAGCATGATTCGTTCATGATTATCCGCAAATTTAAAGTTGTAAAAAATAAATACTTTTGCCCTTCCATTTCAGCCGATTGAAGATAAAAGATAACTGATTGGGATTATATATTAATCTTAGTTTTCGGAAGCTTTCATGTCTTTGTTAATTTTGTAGATGCAGTTGCACCACGTGCTATTTGCTATACCTATTATTTTATTAATTTTATTATTTCAGCTGCCTGAATGTCTAATATCATCAGATATCATCAGATCTAGTACATTTTAACTTTATAATGAGTTTAAATATCATTTATGATTTATATCAAAACAAAGTGCCAAAAAAAGAAGTTTTTCTGTTTCTACAAGAACGAATTTAAGCGTTATACAGACCCCCGAACTCCCTATATATCACCAAAAATGGGCCTAAGTAACGAATGTCGGTAATGTGAGGATGCAGCGGAACTAACTGTTTTTTTGTGTGATCGACACAATTCTGTAAGAGGCTTTCACACCTTGAAATGGTACATTGATCGACCAGTCAGGGAGGGAGGGAATTCACCCAAAACCACCACATGCCTCATCAGCAATTTTGGTTTACGTGATATTATATACTCCTTCACAAGAGATCTAAGCAAGTCGAAGTAACGAGATGGCACTAGCCTAAACGACTCAAGTTCATACATACCTGTTTGCTAGCTTGGGATCATAACTTTTGCCAGCAATAATTAAATGGTCATCTGCATACTGCTTATCTATGTTACTTACATCTCTAGAATATTGGTCATTCTTAGCGATGACTTAGCTGTTATGATCACTTTGATACAGTTATTGTAAATTTACCCAAACGATGGGCCATACATTATGGCTATTACCCGCTTCATTTTTTTGAAGGAAAATCGAAAACACAGCCATCTTCCGTCGTGTCGATCTGCGGAGCGAGAGGTACTAAGTTCGAGCCCCAGACAGTACGGTCGCTTTATTTATTTAAATAAAAATATTTATTTATCTAAACAGAGCGCCCAGCGAGGCGCCACCTTAAGGAAGGCAATGGCAAATCTCACTTTGAGTATATTTGCCTTATACAGTCTCTCAAAAAGTGCCTTTCGTATTCGGCGATAAACTGTAGGTCCCGTGTACTGGTGTGTGTAAATACTGATGATATACATCACAAGTACATGCGAGATGTAGTCGACGCTCTGTATAGAGTATGGCACTGTAAGAAGAGGAAGCTACCTTCCACAAGTATTTCCAATCATTGGCTATTTTACGCCACTGCACTACGCTAGTTTGCACTATCTACGCGATGGTGATCACTATTGATTGCTAAGAATGACCCTTCACGTTGAAGAGATTATTTTTATCGTATAACTTATAACATCGTGATAATCGTCAACAATCCTCAGCAAAAACAGAAAAGTCAAAAATCGGCTTTTTGCCGATGAAGTATTCAATATACCTAATAATGTATTTTGAAAAGTATAGTGATACGATTGTAGATTGTAGATTGTACACTCCACTAACTGGATTAGACCCGTTATATTTCCCAAGTTGAAACCAAATTAAAGCAAAACTCAATAACCTGGAAGAGACCATAAACTCCAACGGTCTAAAACACTCAAAAAATTTTCTCAAGACTTTCGACCGAGAAAAATCAAAGATTTTCCTTGATTCAGTAGACTGAAGCTAAGAAAGAACGGTGAATGGAGATTCTGTGGGGAAAATGGTGAAACACTGGAACATCTCATCACTGAGTGCACGGAGATGACAACTGTTCCTGCCGTAAACTTTTGTACACCTGATATCAGAGATGGAGGACTAACCTCTGTAAAGTCCTCTAAGGCTTTTGTCAAAACCCTGAGACTGTGTGATGAGTTATAACTCGTTATAACACAAGAAAGGGGGACACAAAAAATCTATAAGGTGCGGTGATTAATTTCCCCCCTCCCATACAATCTACAATCTAGTGATACGATGCACACTTCTCTATCTTCTATCTCTCGTAAATGTAAAAGGGTTTGAATAGTGTGATATCTCTATCATCAACTGTAAATTGTTAGAGATTAGTAGGGAAATAATAGGAGGCAAAATAAACCCTACTGGAAATTCTTGACAAAGACGGTTTTATCTCATTTACAATCAATTTTATTAGGAGGCTAAAGATAATTATGCAACGATAAGGAATTAAAAATCTCAAGAATAAGAGTATCTTGCTTTGAGGAAATGAAAATTGATGTTGTCACCTTTTCACCTCCAAAGCACTGTCGTAGATTCTCTGGTAGCTTTGAGGATGTACGTCTTCTAGGGAAGAATTTTCAAAGGATCCAATGAGGCTTATGCGCCCTAGTCTTTTCGAACTACTCTCCCACCGAGGAAGACATGTTATAGTTACTCTAGCTAAGACTAATATCGCAATATTGTTCTCATAAAGATATTATATTAGATTGAGATAACGATAAGATTCTCCCATCATATATCTCTGTCGGGAACAAGTCCATCTTTTTAAGTCGGGGGGTCATTGATCCCTGGACATGACGCTAACTAACCCGGTAGCGCCGGCACTGGGCGTTTGGTCAGTCCGCGAGCGATTAACGGCGTTTCGAGGCTCGTCCGCATCGTCACATCGTCAAGCCGCTTTCACTGTCGAAGGTGGATGATCGAGGAGTCGCGAATTTGGACCGAACGGCCACCTGGACGGGTACCACTAGGTCGCCTGGCCACTGTACGACCTAGCCGCAACCACGGACGCTCTCAATCGGTAC